CATGCAAGTCGTGCCCTGTTCTAAACACTGGTTTCAAGGGTTCAAAACAACATTTTGATGTGCCGACCAGCAGCGTTCGCAGTGTTCCCACATCCAGGACGTATTCCTGTTGCAAGCAGACGACACAGCGCATATGGTTGTCAAAACAAGGTTTTAAGGGCTTGCAATCTTGTTTCAGCCACTGTTTTCTCTGCCAGGCAGGGTTTGATCCGACCAAGAACATGCCCTCTGGCTTGGACGATGCAAAATGCTTCCGGTCATTGGCCTTCCATGCGGAGCGGGCAATGCTGGACATCATACCTCGCATCTTCCAGGAGAAGCCGCGTCAGAAGCAGGCGCGAGCCCAGCTGCGGAGCTACATGACACAAACTGGGTCCTTTTGTCCGCGGACGCTTGTCTGACACCCCTATCCCCCCACCCAGAATTACCAAAACCAACCCCTTTTTTCCAAAGACCCCAAGCCGGCAACTGTGCTGAGGAAGTTGGCAAGCTGGTGGGATGACGCGGGCTTTGATTTCATGGCCAATCCCAAGCGCAGCCGCCCCATCCCATTGCACCAGCTCTGGTGCGCGCATGATTTGGATGCTCCCGAGCTTTGCCACATCATGCTTCGCTTGGCAGGCCTGGCTTGCCTGGACTCGTGTAGCAGTTTGTGCTGGAAGAAGTTATGTTCAACCCATGTTTCGAGCTCCCCAAAGTAGCAAAGGGGCTAGGGTTGAGGGAAAAATGGAAGGGTTCAGGGTTTGGGCTCAGGTTTTGGGGTCCCGTGGCAGCTTCTGCTGTAGAAGAAGTTATGTTTAGCGATGTTTCGAGCTCCCCAAACTAGCAAAGGGGCAGGGTTGAGGGTTCGGCCTCAGGGTTTGGGGTCCCGTGGCAGTTGTGCAGTAGAAGTCATTCTTAAACTTATGTTTCGAGCTCTCCAAAGCAGCGCAGGGGCTCGGGTTTAGGGTCTACTGTGTCCGAAACCCAAACAATCACAGCCGTTGGCGGCCCTGTGGTAGGGTTGACGGTTTTGGTTTGAGGGTTTTCGGTTCTTTTTCGGGACGGAGGCTTGCTTTCCTGCGAGGGATGACACTTTCGAGTTCTGTAAATCTTGTTGGGTTTACGGTCTGGGGTGTCGGGAAATGCTGTTCTCGCCTGGCTGCGGCCGGTCATGGAGTTTTTTAGGGTTGTGTGGCTCATGTTTCTCACGCCTCGGCCTGTGCCAGCGGTTGGTCGTTTGGGCCCACGTGTGTCGTGTCCGCTCTCGGTGTTTGTCCCGCATTGGGTCCTCGACCCTGCCGCCTTGGCCCTGCGTAATGTCTGCATTCTTGCAGCTTTTCTGCGTTGGAAGGCATGCGCAAAGCATGCTGCGAAACAGGCGCATAATCGGGAAGCCTGGCTCAAGCCATGCCGCCCAAAAAAAAACCGGCAGCGGCCGCGCCTGCAGCCAGAAGCGGATACAAGCAAGGAGAGATCGCCGACCAGGAGATCAAAACAGAGCAGAAGTCCGGCAAGCACGCTATACCGGGCAAGCACTTCCGGAACCTCGTCAGAGCCATCCTAGCATGTCTTTGCGAGGAGAACGGGTTGGAGTGGAATGACCTGACCATAAAGATGAAGGGCATGGCGGCGTTGCAGACGGCGGCCGAAGCAGCAATGATCGAGATCATCGCTGCAGCAGAGAAGCTTGCCAACCACCGTGGTGCTAGCAGCGTGTGTCGCGTGGACCTTGTGCAGCTGCGACACCTTGCGGATGGCATGTCGGCGAGCGCAATCCAGCTTCTGCAATGCGCCGCAGACCGCCACCGCGTCATAGAGCTTTACCAGGCCAAGTTCGCAGTGATGCACAGGGCGCCCTCCAGTCGCCGACAGCGTGTTCTGAAGCAGCGTAAGTTTCTCAGCGGCTTGCAGAAGCAGCCAAGAACCCCTAGGGTTGCCAAAAATCCAGCCCCCAAGAACCGCTGCGCAAAGAGGCGCTAGGTTGGGCAGCTTCTGAAAGGGCGCCAGAGCCATCAACGGAAGCTTTTAAGGCCCTGAAAGCTCGGTCCTGGACTGGTGTACACCCTATCAACCTCAACCCCTAAACGTGAAACCCTAAACCCCAAACCTAAACCCTAAACCCTCAACCCTCAACCTTAAACCCGAAACCCTAAACCCCAAACCTAAACCCAAACCGGCAGGTGGTGTTTTAGGGTGTTCCAACACAGAAATGGCATGTGTTGAGCCCCCGTGCCCCTTGTAAAGCAAACTCTGCTTCAAACAGCCTTTTTAGGTCCTTGAAAGTCAGAAATGAAGGTCTTCTGTCATGCTCTTTCGTGAGGGCTCTGGCCAGAGGCATGGCTTGCAAGTCGCTTCTTGCACAGAAACCTTCTAAGCGGGTGCATGCGACGGTTTTGGCGAGCAGAAAGCTTCTCGACTCCTTGAAACAGAGAAAAGAAAGGCTCGTCCCTCACCGTCCTTGAGAATGCCCTGAACCTTACACCTGACCTTACACCTGAAAGCGTTTCAAGTCCTTGAAACACACAAATAGAACCCTAAACAGCCTTTGAATTCCTGGCAGGCTGTGTGCCTTCGCAAAGCGCATCCGAAAGGATCAATGGCCTGGTCAAGTTCACCACCGGGAATGTGCTTCAGAACAACTTCTCCTGGGATGCGCGGGTTGCCAGCGCAGTGATCTGCGACAAGTACCGCAAACTCGCAGCGTGCGGCAAGAAGAGGAAGCACTGCGACACACGCGCCGGACATTGGGATGACGAGGACTGGAACATGGAGGCCGACAGTGACAAGGAGGATCTTTCGGATGACGCAGACGCCAGGCCAATGGAAGCTGGCTTGGATTTCGAGGCGCTGTCCGCCTAAACACCTTCCTCACTCTCAGTCCCTTTCACCCCCTATAAAGCATGGCCCAAACAGTGTTTCAGTACCTTCAAAAGTAGCCCAAAACTTCCAGGCGGATCCAGTTCCAGACGCACCCTCGCTGGGCTCGGCAAGCTCCGCTTCCACTTCCAGCAGCTCCAGTTCCTCAGCAGAGAGTTGCTCAGACTCCGACGACTGAGTCTCCAAGGGCGACGACTTTTGGTGCCTGCTTGTTTTCTTGTCCAGAGGCGTTCATGAGTCTCCAAAGAGTTCCAGACACGGCCGTCTGGGCAAGAGCATCGCAAGACCACTTGAAACCCTAAGTCCAGATACCTTGCAAGGCACAAATCCAATCAACCCTTGAGATAGGGCTTAGCCTTCAGGTTTAGGATAGGGGCTTAGGGTTACTTGGTGGGGAAGTCACTTCCATTGGTTTTAATTGCTAGAAAGACTATGGCAGTAAGGAGCACCAATGGTCGGGCGGTTAAGGTGTTGGGCTGTCGACCGCTCATGTCCAGGTTCGAATCCCGGAGGCGAGCTTTTGGTTTCTCCATACAATCGTGTGCTATCTCTGACTTTGGGTCCCCTGAAACGCCGATGGGAGAAGGCAAACCTCCGTAAAGACATTGGCTGGCAAACCCTCAATCCTAAAAGGTGCTGTGTGGCAAGCCCAAAACCCTAGAAGTAGAGGCTGAGTGCTGGTTCCAGGCTTTTAAAGGGTTCAAAGTCTGGATTCCTGGACTGCAGGCGCAGAACAGGCCCAGAACAGGCCCAAGCCCCAAAAAGGAGAAGTTGCACGGCAGCCCTAAACCCTAAAAGGCGCTGTGGCAAGCCCAAGACCGTGACAAAACAACAAAGCAGGCCTGGGTACTGGTTCCAGGCCCCTAAAACGACGACAAACAAAAAAATCCACAACCCGCCAAAACACACGCTCGCTTTGGTTCCTGCTTTCGCTGAGCCTAAGTACTGGTTCCAGGCCACTGAAACGGTGGCAAGCTTAAATGATATGCAGTGTGAAAGGTGCTTTGTGGCTTGCCCAAAACCATGACCATACAACAAAACAGAGGCTGAGCACTGGTTCCAGGCCCCTAAAACGGCGGCAAGCTAACAACAGGTTCCAGGCCACTGAAACGGTGGCAAGCTTAGTGTGGCCTGCCCAAAACCACAGGCTGACTCCTGCTTCTAGACATTAGGCCGGACTTTGGACCCTCCAAAACCTTGATTGGAAACTTACAGTCCCTGAAATGCCGAAAAAGGAAACGGTTGCCAACAACAACTGAGGAGGGGTTAAACCTTAAAACCCGAGAAGGTTCCAAGGTTAAGCAATGCAACCTAAACCCTTCACCTTTACACCTTACAGAGGCTACATAGGTACTGCTTCCAGGCTTTTCAAACGGTGGCAGGTGAGATCCTCAAGCCCTGAACGGTAGTCGGCTTTTAGGGGCTAGGTCATAGACAGTGACTAGTGTGCTCTTGCGATGCCTGCGCAGACCTGGATTCGCGCTGGGTAGAATCTAGAAGGGGTTTGGGGGGAGTAGAACGTCCCGGAAGCTTTGTGGCGCATTGCAGCATGAATCACGCAAGGCACTCTTCCTGTTTGATGTGTCAAAAGCTGTGCCGGTGCTTGTTCTGATACTTCAAAAGCAGCGACTTGGGGTGTACAGAGGGGCCCCGCGACTGTTTAAGGCAGTCACCGCTGGCGAGCTTTCTGAGAAGGAAAATCTCCTGTGTCCAGATCCAGAGCAAGCTTCCAGTCCCCTGAAACCCTTGCTTGACTAGCTTTCGTGTGACAAACCAAGCAAGCAGGGCATGTGCAACACCAATAACAACATGTGTACTCAGAGCCGTGAAATACATACGTGGAAAACGGATTACGTGCTAACCGGCCGGCACGTTAACACGCAAACCCTACCTAGGCCAGGCATATGGCACTTTATTATATTGCAGGCTTTCGGGGAAACACCCCGCCTCCTTACATTGTTCCCTAAACCCTAAACATATATATATATATGTATATATATATATATGTATATAGAACCCTTATATGTGTATATGTGTAGATAAATATATATATATATATATGTATAGACATATATGCATCTTAGACATCTCTGCATATGGGGGTTAGAGAACTGGCCATATTGCCCCAGCTGCGATCGCAGGACAGGACATGGTCCAACTGATCTGCTACGCCCAGAGACAGGCGTCCAATACCCTACCCCTGTCCCTGTAAACCCTAAACCCTAAACCCGAAGCCCTAAGCCCTAAACCCTAAACCCGAAACCCGAAACCCTAAACCCTTAACCCTTAACCCTTAACCCTTAACTCTTATATAACCCTTAAACCCTAAACCCTAAACCCTAAACCCTAAACCCTAAACCCTAAACCCTAAACCTTAAACCCTAACCTAATTCAATCGCTAAACCCTTCGTCAAGCCGTGGGATTTTGGGGTTTAGGGTGTTTAGGATTCAAGCAGGGTTTTGGTGTTTACGTTTTGTCGGCTTTAGCTATGGTATTTTGGGGTTTAGGCTTTAGTGATTGGGGTTCACCGGGTTTCAGTGTCAAATTTTGGGGTAAGGTGTCTGGAGTGACCCTAAACTAAACCCTAAACCCTAAACCCTAAACCCCCAAAATTGCGTAGTATATCTTCGACAAGCTTTCGATGAGCCGTCGAGCACCTAAGCCCTTAAAGGCCTCGAGCCCGAAATCCCAAGGGCCTAAAGCCCGAAACAACTTTCAGGATCGAAGGCTCTGAGCCCTCCAGGGCTTAAGGCGCTTCACTTTGTGGATAAGGAGTCAGGTGTCCTGGACCCCTAAACCCTAAACCCTAAACCCTAGACCCTAAACCCTACTGGAGTTCCGCTTGGGGCTTAGGGTTCAGGACTCGGAGATTCGCTGTGAAGGCAGCAAAAACACTCACAGTGTCCAAGAGTCCAACCACAAAGGGTTTAGGGTTTGGGGGAAGAGGATGGGTACCTCGAATCTGAGATCGAAGGTCACTCGTGGAGTTTACCCTGGACCCTAAACCCGTGAACGACCCCATGGGGGTGGTACCCCTTTCGGCTGTGCAACTAGATCCATGTGCATTGTCGCGTCGTCAGCTGACTCACTCAGGTTCTTAGGCCAAAGCCTCCACCCCTCCTTCCCTCACCAAACCTGGAAACTCCGAAGGATAACCGGAAGCTCTGAACGCAAACTCCGCCCTCCATGAAACCCTAGACACCCGAAAGCCTAAACCCTAAACCCTAAACCCTACGAAACTGTTCATGCACCGATCGTTCTGCGAGGTGGTCCGCGCCACTCAGTTCGTCAACCGCATTCGGTTCTTGAACGTCCAGGCCGAATTGGCCAAGCCAGTGTTTTCGCCAAACGACCCTAAGACCCCTGGGGTATAATTGGAGGTTCATGAGGAAAACCCGAAATCCTAGACCCTAATTCTGAAGTCTGGACCCCTGGGTTCTATAGGGTATGTAAGGGGTCTAGAAGGGTCTCCCATTTAAGAGCCCCCCATGTTCAAAACGGAATGTTCAACATACCCCTTGGGCATACCCTTAAAGGAAGTTATGATCTTCTGCGAAAATAGGTGTGGGTTTTGGGGCATGTTGGCTCGTACTCTTAGGAAATGAAGAGACCGTGCAGCTCTCCTTAGAGTGATGACTCGCTTCCCCTGCCCCCGGCTTCGAGGAGCTGGGAGGATAGTCAGGAGGGAAGTTTTACCCTGAAGCCACGCACCCCTGAACCTACTAAATCCTGCCCCTGGACCCCCAAAGTATGTAAACGAAATCACCCCAAACCCTTCAAAGGGCCATGATTTTACATATTTTGGGGGATTAGGAGTTAGGAAACCCCTAGTCACTGTATGAGCCAGCATAGCCGCACCCCCCCCCCCCCCCCCTCACCCGGTGGTAATCCCCCCTGCCCCCCTCTGGTTCATGCTGGGTTTTTTGGCTTCCCCCCCCCCCCCCCCCCCCTGTGGTTCTTGGTCTGTGGTTCATGAGTTAGGGTTTAGGGTTAGGCTGTAGAGTTCAGGATTTTCACTCTGACCCCCTTGGTCCATTGCTTCACGATGGGTTTAGAGTTTAGGGTTCAAGGTTTGGGGTAATGGTAGGCTTATGGTTTCTCCTCTCCCCCCCCTGTGGTTCGTGCTGGGTTAACGGTTCAGGGTTAAAGCGGTTCAGGTTTCGGGATTACCCTTCTCCCCCTCCGTGGTTCATTGGCGGGTTCAGGTTTTCGGGCTTGGGCTTCAGGGTTTGGGGTCTAGGTTAAGGGCTTCCCTCTCCCCCCCCTTGTGGTCCGTGGTGTTTTTGGGGTTAAAGGGCAGGGCTTGGGGGGGGGGGGATACCGGGGGGGGGGGGGGGCGTCGATTCCGCAGAACGCGGGCTTATATCAAACCCCTGAACCCCCGCCACGCCAAGCCCTGGCACGAGCTCCCACCACACCAGCCCAGAGACTCCAAAACCCCTTAATTAAGGAATAGACCTTAATAGGAACCCTAAACCCTAAACCCTAATCCCTTAACCCTCATAAACCCTAAACCCTAGACCCTAGACCCTGATTTAAGGTAGATTCCTTAATTAAGGGGTTTTGGAGTCTCTGGGAGGTCGATGGTGTGCAGGAGCGACTGAACGTCGCAGGCGCCTGACGTTTTGTTGGGGTTCAGGGTATAGGGTTTAGGTTTAGGGTTTAGGGTTTAGGGTTTAGGGTTTAGGGTGTTTAGTGATGGACTTTGGGTTTCAGAAACAGGGCTTATTTTTTGTTTGTTGTTTCTTTGAGGTGGGGTGTGGGGTTCAGAGCTTTTGAGGTTTTGGCGTCTGCCGTGGTGAGGGTGACTGAATCATTGACTGAAGTCTACGGGCACGTATGTTCAGTATTTTGGCACGGGCGCCCCTACTTTCTGAAAACCCCCCACCGTTAACCCACCACCTGAGTCCCGGCGTCCACGAGGCAATCTTCGAACAAGTCGCTTGTGCCGATTTGGGCATCAATATGCCAAATAGGGGAAACCTAAAGCCCTTCAACCCCGAATGAAGCTGGGTTTAGGGTCTAGGGTCTAGGGTTTAGGGCTTAGGGCTTAGGGTTTATGGTTTGGGCGGGTGGATCGTTTGACTGCCGTGGCTGCTTTGAATCCCTATCTTATCGCGGACCGTAGCAGAATTTATGTCAGGGACTCGAGTTGGGGTCCATTTCACGACACGCAACGCAGTGCTTCGTGAACCGTGTCTTCAGCGCGTGAAAGTGCGCAGAATCGGAATCGGAATGCCTGATGCCTCTAGCCAGGCTCCTCACCCTGAACCCCAAAACCAACCCTAAACCCTAAGCCTAAACCCTAAACCCTAAACCGTAAACCCTAAACCCCTGGCTGCAGGCAAAGCACTTCAGGTGGAGGGCCTGGAGCAGATCCAGGCGCTGGTTTCTTCGGGGAATGGGATTGAGGATTTAGGGTTTAGGATTTACGGTTTAGGGGTTTAGGATTTAGGGTTTAGGGTTTAGGGTTTAGGGTTTAGGATTTACGGTTTAGGGGTTTAGGATTTAGGGATCGGGTTCCTAAACCCTTATTAGGGTTATTAGGGATAGGGTTCCTAAACCCTAAACCTTAAACCCCTAAACCGAAAACCCCCAGCAAGGTTGTAATCGCTGGAGTGCTCTTTTCACACGCTCCTGAGTACGATCCCTGTCTTCACTGAGAATTCCTTCAAGCCCAAGGGGAACAACCCGCCGGATCCCCAGGCTACTCTTGGGCCCGTTTTGTGAGGGCCTAGGGTCTCTGAAACTCCGTAAGCACTCAAGCCCGAAACCTCCAACCTTAAAACCCTAAAGCCTATAGGCCTTGTTTAGGGCTTGGAGGAGTGGCTACGACGACACTGTCGAAGACACCCATACAACATGGGCCCAAACCATCGTTTCTGGAAGCAACTTGAACCAAAGGTTAAAGCGAATTGGATTTACTGGGGGAGGTAACCTTGAGTTCCCAAAACAAATGGATGAAGTACTCCGAATACCCAGGCCCAATCCCCCAACCCCCACCAAGTAGCCTATAGACCCTCCGCTTGGGTTGCCGCTCAGGAAACTAGGGTTTAGAGTTTAGGAAATCTACCGGGACCTGCAAACCGTTCCTGATATATATACACATATATTCATCTCTATATCTTCATTTCACGGCATCTACACCTGCCTACTGATGTGTAGGAGCCCAAGCACAGACGGTGTGACCTCATACAAGGGGCTCTTGTTGGACCCATCATCTGGGTTTAGGGTCTAGGGTTTAGGGTTTGTTGGACCCATCACCTCGCCTTTTGCCTGCCAGACTGCCTCCCGCAACGATGTGGTCTGGGGCGAAGCTGCTCAACGACTCTTGGTTGCAGGGTTTAGGGTTTAGGGTTTAGTGTTTATAGGGTTTAGGGTTTAGGGTTTAGGGGTTAGGCCCAAACCTCTGCAAGCGAACCACCCAAAACCCTAAACTCTGAAGCTAAGAGCTTAAACTCCACAGGGACACACGAGCCGAGGTTCAGAGGCCCAGGTGTCATGTTCAGGGTGCAGGGGACTTAGGGTTTTGGGTTTAGGGTGCAGGGTTTAGGGGTTTAGGGTTTAGGGCGTCATCCTTACTTCCGAAGCCAGTCATCAACAATCCAACATGCAGGCGCAAGCCCCTGTGCCCGTTTTTTCTACCAGTGCAACCCTAAACCCTAAGCCCTAAGCCGTAAGCCCTAAACACTAAACCCTAAACCCTAAACCCTAAACCCTAAACCCTAGACCCTAGACCCTAGACCCTAGACCCTAGACCCTAAACCCTAAACCCAACAGCCCTAGCGTAGATGCCAGTTCTTGAACAGCCGTTGTAGGGTCCGCACTCTTAGGGCGTTAACACCCCTAACCGGGGTCATCCCACACCCTGCTCAAAAGGTTTCAAGGTTGAGGGCTTGGGGTCTTGGGGTCAGGGGTTTAGAATTTAATTTAGGGTTTAGGGTTTTGGTTAAGGGTCTCGGTTTAGGGGGTTTTAGAGTTGTTTTTCTGTTCAGGGCGTGGAGGGGTAACAATCCACAGGACAGCTGGTGCTGCATCATCTTGATGTAACCCGGCAGAACACATATCCGGTGGTGGACGAGCTGGAGAGGCCGCATGAGGGCTTTGAGATGTTCATGGTGATTAGCTCACATCTGAGTTCAAGCGCTAAGTCCTAAGATCCTAGACCCTACACCATGAAGGGTCATAAGCCCTACCAGAAGCCCTAAACCCAAAACCCTAAATCCCTAAACCCCTAAACCCTTAAACCCTTAAACCCCTAAACCCCTAAACCCCTAAACCCCTAAACCCCTAAACCCCTAAACCCCTAAACCCCTAAACCCCTAAACCCCTAAACCCCTAAACCCCTAAACCCTTAAACCCCTAAACCCTAAACCCCCCTACAAAGGACTTGGCATGCAATTACGAGTGCGGGCTTCCGGGGATCAGAGCATTGGGATGCCGGGTCTGTGAAGGTCCGTTTCGGCTTGTGTGGTGTAAGGTTTAGGGTTTAGGGTTTAGGGTTTAGGGTTTAGGGTTTAGGGTTTAGGGTTTAGGGTTTAGGGTTTAGGGTTTAGGGTTTAGGGTTTAGGGTTTTCTGTGTAGGGTTTAGGGTTTAGGGTGTAGGGTTTAGGGTTTAGGGTTTAGGGTTTAGGGTTTAGGGTTTAGGGCTTAGCGTTTAGGGTTTAGGGTTTAGGGTTTAGGGTTTCCTCGATGCTGGGGGGGCTATGAAATAAGGGTCAGAGTTGGGGTCTAGAGTCTTGGGGTCACCCTAAACCCTAAACCCTAAACCCTACACCCTAAACCCTTAACCCTAAACCCTAAACCGTAAAAGGATCCCCCTGGAGCCCAGCCCGCATTCAGAGAAGCCTGGGCTAGGGGTTTAGGGTTTCGGGTTTAGGGTTTAGGGTTTCGGGTTTAGGGTTTAGGACGAACCTGGCGCGCTCCCTTTCCCCAACCCGCAGAGTATGGGACTGGCAAGGGACTATTGGGGCCCTTCCTTGGGATCCGGGTTTAGTAAAGTTTAGGGTTTAGTAGGGTTTAGGGTTTAGGGTTTAGGGTTTAGGGTTTAGGGTTTAGGGTTTAGGGTCTCTGTTCCAGGGACAACTAGCGGCCGGAATTGCACGAGCAACTCGGCCACTCGGGATGCGAATCGTCTTCTTGGGTTTAGGGTTTAGGGTTTAGGGTTTAGGGTTTAGGGTTTAGGGTTTAGGGTTTAGGGTTTAGGGTCCGGGTTTAGAGTTTACCGTCTAATGTAGGGATCGGAAATACTTGTTGGTACTATTCCCTTGTGGTCCTCTATATTACTATACTATGTTACCCCCCCCCCCCCGCCCCAATCCGCTACTCTAATTGTTAAGGCGCCTATATTAGGTGGTGTCAAGGTCTGGGGGTGGGCTTGTGAGGCTTGTTCGCACCCAAGTGTCTAGAGGTGTTTAGGAATCTAAGTTGGGGTTTTGAGGTGAGGAGTTTGTGCTTGAGAGCTGTTGGGCACCCGGGACGGGGGTTTAGGGTTTAGGGTTTAGGGTTTGGGGTTTAGGGTTTAGGGTTTACGGCTTAGGGTTTAGGGGGGGGAGGGGGTGGGCTTTTCGGGAGGTTTCGGGAGGTTTTCCGGCTCGCACGGTGGGATCCATCCCTGCTCCCAAGCCCCAACCCCCAAGAATCGGGCCCAACGAGCACCCTAAACCCTAAACCCTAAACCCTAAACCCTAAACTCTAAACCCTAAACCCTCAACCCTAAACTATACATCATCCCTACACAATCTCTAAGGTTAGCGTGGAGTCTCCTCTCAGGAGCTGGACCTGCAAGTAAACCCGCATGTGGATCGCCCAAAACTTCCAAACTTAGCTCAACAATGCTTGGAGGGTTTAGGGTTTAGGGTTTAGGGCTTTGGGCTTAGGGTTTAGGGTTTAGGGTTCAGGGATACCTGGAGGTTCAGGGTGCTTAGTAACGCAAGTACGGGGGTTTCCGGTGTTAGGGGTACCCTTTTCGGGGGGTATCTTTAAGGGGATTCCAATCTTTTAGGGGTTTACAAGGGGTACGCCCTATTTTGGGAAATACCTGTATCCCCTAAATCATTCTAAGGGTAGTTACGCGGTTCATTCGTATGGTCCCTTACCTTCCTTAAAGGGTTCTGAAGTAAGGGCCCTTGGGTTTTACAGGGTATTAAATGGGTATAATTATAAGGCCCCCCCAAAAAAAAAAAAAACAAGGCCTATATTCAGGGACCATGTGGTCGGATCCTTATTTTGAGAAGCTCCCAAGCCAAAATCCTAAATCCTAAGCCTGAGCACTAAACCCTACACCCTAAACCCTAAACCCTAAACCCCAAACCCTGAACCCTAAACCCAAAGGGTTTTTGCGCAAGCTCCAGGCTGTGCTCGGTGGCCCTCAGTGCGGTTTAGGGATGAGAGTGTAGGGGGCATATTCCTCCAAACAGGTAGTTTGAAACTTTGGGTCCCCTGTAGATGGCGGCACCCTCAAATTAAGGATCCCGCCACAAAGGAACCTAGTCTCGAGAAATGCCCATAGCGGCGATTTGTGTAATTGAACTGACAGCGTTGGATTTGAGAGCCCTTTTGTGCCCTAAACCCTGTGCCTTTTTCCAAATCCTAAGCCCTAAACCCGAGCCCACAATCCGATCCCGCACAACCCCCCACAGGCCCTAAGCTGGAAAATGCTCGCAGGTGCGGGCCTCTTCAACACCTAAGTTCCTGCAGTAGAAGTGTTCCGTTTCACTCCAGTCTCAATGGCAAAGCCATGCGTGTGCAACAGAAGAGGCTGCAAGGCCGTGACGAAAATCATCAGAACCCACCCTGTGAACCGCATTAGGGCTTAGGGTGTAGGGTTTAGGGTTTAGGGCTTAGGGCTTAGGGCTTAGGGCTCAGGGTTTAGGGTTTAGTGTTCGTTGTTCTCTTCGACATCCTTCCGGGCTTGCGGTTCTTGGTTTCGCCTCAGGGAATTGAACATCTTGTGTAAGTGTGGGGGTTTAGGGCTTTGGGTACCTAACATCCCAATTTCTTATTAAGAACTAGTAAGTAGTTAACAACGAAGATGGTTGTCTTCTTTTCAAAATGACATGATCACTTCGGGGTCTCTCTTTTCTAGTTATTTATCGCTTGGGATGCCGAGAAAGGTCTGCAGAGAAGGCTTCGGCTTGAGGGTTTAGGGTTTAGGGTTTAGGGTTTAGGGTTTAGGGCTTTTGGTAGAGATTCCTAGTTTGGATCAACCCGCTACATAGCAAAAGGTACTCGTGAGGTGAACCCAGATGCCCTCCGACCACACCCTTCAGGCACCCATATCCTGGCAGGATAAATCCTATAATCCTAAACCCTAAACCCAACAACCCTAAACCCTAAACCCCAAACCGTAGAACACCAAGCACTAACCGCCCAAGGTCCAAATCTGCCCCGAAAGCCTCAAAGCCCACAACCCCAAAGAATGACCAACCTCCAGACACCCCTGCCTAAACCCTAAACCCTCTGCAGACCTAAGCCCAGACACCCTGAACCAAACCCGCCTAAACTCCAAGACATTCGAAAAGAGGCCTACAGATATATATAATACGTAGAAGAATGATGATGACAGAGGTATGTATAGTTGCAGAAAAAAGCAGCAACCTGGCCCCTGAAGCCCCTGTCACCCAAAACAAACCACTCTAAACCCTAAACCCTAAACTCTAAACTTTCACAATCAGAAGCGCAGAACTGTCCTGGGGGAGAATCCCGAGCCTTCCGCTGAGGTACCAAACCCCTGAGCACCTGAGGCACTAAACCTCCTTTAACGTTTAGGGTTTAGGGTTTAGGGTGTGGGGTTTAGGGTTTAGGGTTAGGGTTGAGGGTTTAGGGTTTAGGGTGTAGCCCTAACCCCCAAGCCCCCTTCACATGCCAAGGCGGTGGAAAGGTCTCGCCCTGGGATCCCGACCTCATCCAGGACCACCGTTTAGGGTTTAGGGTTGAGGGTTTTGGGGTTTAGGGTTTGGGGTTTAGGGTTTGGTAGGGTTTAGGGTTTAGGGTTTTGGGTTTTGGGTTTTGGGTTTAGGGTTTAAGGTTTAGGGTTTAGGGTTTAGAGTTTATCTTATTCACAGATTTAGAGTTTGTTCGGGCACATGTAGGGGTACCCTTCTTGCTTGACATGACTAAATTCAAACGCCAATCCTGAACCCGAAGCTCTAAACACACAAGCCCTAAGCCCTAACCCCTAAACCCTAAAACCCTCAAACCCTAAAACCCTCAAACCCTCAAACCCTAAACCCCTAAAACCCTCAAACCCTAAACCCTAAAGACCCTAAAACCCTAAAACCTTAAAACCCTAGAACCCTAAACCCTAAACCCCTTAAGCCCTATCCCGACACCCGAAGCAGGCATTGTCGCGGCCGGCGACAGCTCCCGATCCTCGGTCGACGCCGGACAAAGGCGCGGTTTGATGTTTTTCTTTTGTTAAAGTTGATGCCCTAAACCCTAAACCCGAAACCCCAAACCCCAAACCCTTGATCCTGAAACCTAAGCCCTAAATCCTAGTTGAATGTTTCGGCTTCAGGGCCTTTTTTTTTGGGGGGGGGGGGGGGAAGCCACGCCCCGAGTTGCCGGGTAGTTCTCGAAATCATTCTGTATATTATGCCGTACATTATACTGTACATTATACTGTGTATTATACTACTCTTTTATACTACTATATTTTTACTGTATATTCTACTGTATATTATTCTGCTATTTGCTCAAGAACCAGATAAAAGGTGTTCTTCCTTACAAAGTCAAGATGATTTGTTTGTCTTTTTGTGGATGGAAGGGGGGCTTCTCAAGCAAATAGTAGTGTAGGGTTTCTTGTTGTGTTCCTCATTTTAAGGGTGCCCATGTGCACAGAGTTCCCTTAGACTAGCCTTAGACGTGTAAGAGGCAAGGTGTTTTTTTTTTTTTTAATACTTCTCTTGTACTCTAGCAACCCTAAACCATAAACCCTAAACCCTAAACCCTAAACCCTAAACCCTAAACCCCTTGAATGGTCTCTCTGCAAGGCTATCCTTTAGACCTTCGGGACACTCGACATGCCAGCTAAACCCTAAGCGGCACGACTCCGCCACTCCCACCTTGACGGCCAAATGAACCCTAAAATTGGGGTCATATACCCTCTACAAGGTGGGGGGGGCCCCCTAGTTATAAGTAGAGTTATAAGACCCCTAAATTGGGTGATAAGGATCCTAAATTTGGTTATAAGTCCCTTAACTACAGTTAGTATAGTAATGTGGGCCCTCCTTGTACTGGTGTAATCCCGACAAAGGTATATGGACCATACACCCTGGTTCCTGTGGTCCCCTATAGTCTCCCGCAACTCTTTTATTCCTAAACCCCAGGCCTCTAATCCTGCAGGTTACTGTCTTGAACCCTACGCCCTACGCCCCCCAACTCTTCGGATTTTCTATCATTACCCTAAACCCCACACCGTATAGGGTTACTGTCCAAAATCCCACACCTGTTTGGGGTTCCTCTCCTAACCCTGGAGAACCCCGAGCAAATGCCTCAACCCTAAACCCTGAACCCAACAGGTCCGAACCCCTAAACCCTGAACCCTAAACCCTAAGCCCCAAAATCCTAAACCCTAAACCCCTAATCCCGTAAAACCTCAGCCTTGTCATGGAGGTGGCCTGGTCAGTGGCTCAGTTGTTTGCTGCCAAGAGAACCCAAGAGGTTCTGATGCATTTGGTTTGGGGTGTAGGGTTTAGGGTTTAGGGTTTTGGGTTTTGGGTTTTGGGTTTAGGGTTTAGGGTTTAGGGCTTGGAGATGGACCTTTGGTTTTGTGCAGGCGATGGGTCAGGGTTTCAGTGTGAAGTTTTGGTGTGTAGTGTGTAGGGATGCCTTCAACTATGTGGGCTATATGGGGATCCTTTCTTGAAGTTGCAAGAGGTAGGTGTGTGCATATATATATATATATACATGTATATATATATATATATATATATATATATATATATTCATATGAATATACCTGCACACTGCTGAATAACTTCAGATACCTCTGCTCTCAGGCTGCATCCTAAGCTAGACGTCCACAAGGCCAATGTGCCAATGAAGAAGTTGCGTTGGAGTATGGATTGGAGCTGGCGGGGCATCCCC